CGTGGTGGAACTAGCAATAAGTGGTTGAACCATCTCAGAGCAGCTGTCTAGGAGTGTGTCTACAAGAATTTGACTTTGATCATGTTTGTACTAGACCATATGGAATAGGGTTTCGACTTTTTGGTCCAACTGTAGTCCCTTTGATATAATAGAAATTGAGACCTGTGAGTGTTGCCTAAATCTGACAACTCTAAAATAGAAATTTTGGGAGTAAACTTGACAGGAGAGGGAGTCAGCGTGTGCAACAGTGGAAGTAGTGGTGATCAGTGACAATGAAGTGGAAGACACACATTTTTAGAGGGAAAAAATAGGATTGAATGACACGTTTTAAGATTCCAATATCATGTAAAACCTTTAAATCGTATCAACTCCGCAAATGAAGACAACTTAGACTTCCTATAGAGGGAAAACATAGAAATAAACAACAATAAAGAAAGTAAATACAGGAATAACGCTTAATTAATTTTCTTAACACACTCTACACTGTAGAGTGAGTCAACACTCCAGACAGAATTTAAAATTACACGGATGAAATAATACTTGGATGCAAAGAGCCATGTCATAATTCATATTCTGCCTATCCCGCTTCTACATTGGTTTGGGATATAACTTGGTGATAATAAGGATAACATCCCCTTGATCATCCCTCAAATTGGGTTCTCTTAGAGCTACTTTTAACAAAACTATGTCTTCTGCAATTTAATACACTTACCCCCAACGTTTTTCCTAAAGGAGTATCCAGAAAGTCCTTCAGCGTCTTCTTGTACTGCAGATGCAACAGAACCCCAAATGATTACCCAAATTTAGATTAACCATATACAAGAATCTCAAAACATAACACAATATATTTCGTTGTAAAGTTCCCTCGTTTTATGAGCTTAAGTCTAGAGTACAGAGATAGAAAGAACAAACCATCGGCAAATTTCTCCTGAAATCGAAAGTGAAGGTGCGCCAGCGACTAGTTATCTCAAATTCGCGGTCAATCTCACGGGCACGGTAAGTAGTTGATTCAGCTGCGGCAGAGAGCCTTTGCACCAGACCGTATCTACGGTCGATTCTCTCAGCTGTCTTCTTCGTCTCGAAGACAAAATTCTCGAAGCCGTCATTAGCTCGCCGCCACGCGGCTTTCCAAGTATCGATGGAGGTTATTCGCTCCGCTAACATGTCAAAGTCGCGGCGCCTAAAGGCATGTACCGCCGTCATGCGCCGGACTGGAATGAACTGCCTTGGTGTATGACATCGAAATTGAATCCTAGCGGGTAATCGGGGTTGAAACGATACACTTGTTGCCATTATTACAAAGTTGCCCGGATTATCCTGTGAAAGGTCGGCCAGATGCTAGACGATGACAAACGTTCGTGTTGCGAGTTGTGAAATGTTTCTTGTTATTACGGAGTAGTTGCTAAGAGGTAACAGCTAATAGAATTGATTTTGGGTGATTGATAGCCCTTTCAACCTTTTAGATAAGTGAAAAAGTTGTTTGTTAAATAGCGGTTCCGCATTAGCGTTTTTATACGAAAACGTTGAAATGAAAACGTTGTTAATATGAGAGTTTTGAATTGGTGTTTTAAAAATGACGTTTTCTTTTAATTTTATAGTCAAACACCTAATTACAACATCTCTAACAACCCGTCAATTTATTCCGCTAGTTAAACTCGCTCACTGAATCCACTATTGACATCCCGCTATCCGTTAATTGGTAACCGCTGATTGTCAAACACGTCCTTTAATTTCAGTAAATGGAAGTGTTTGTGACTCCAAAAGATGAATTGTTTATATACAGACAATTTAAGATCATGTATACTTTCCTTTATTAAAATTAAAATAAATTGTCTACGATAATTATACTGGGGCGTGTAAATCAACGTGTGTACACGTATCATTTTTCCCGCTCATATAGGCCATATGACCAAATCAAGGACAACTTAGAAGTACGGAGTAGTTATCTAAAAGCATGTTCTATGCTATTCTCAAAATACAATACCTTATATAATTATAATTGAGCAATTTAAATATTACTCCCTTCGTCTCTTATAAGTTATAACTTTGTCAACTTTCATTTTTTTAGAAGTTTCATTAACTTTGACGCTTTCTCTTTAAAGTAAAGAATTTGTTGTTCCAGTTAATTCTTCTCCTCAGCATAAACCTCAACCACACAGTTTTTACTTTATTAATTCATGTGCCGGTCAAACTTGACAAAGTTATTAGGGACGGAGGAAGTAATAAATGATGAAAACGTGATTTGGACTAATCAAATAAGTTTAAGTGCCGCACACAGACTTACTCGTAGAAAATGAGCGCAAATTATACCGTGGGATCGGCCCACCATGAGCATGGTGTGCCGATCCCAAAACGGCATAGTTTCATTTATTAAAACGGGGAGCGGATTACAGCAAGCAAGAAAACCTTCGTTATTGCCGCCAGGAACGTTACTGCAACAGAGAAAACAACGGCTGGTTGCTCCTCATCACGTTAGTGCAACAAAACCTACCGCTGGAGCAACTTTTTCATCGCTTTCAAACCTTGCTCCTCATCATTCATGCTTGGCGAGAAAAGAACGGCTGGTTGATTCTTAGATTTCAATTTTTTCTTTTGAGGAAGATTAATTTCTGAGATTTCAAATTGAAAGTGCGACTATTAATATTGTCATTGCAGAATCAATAGAACTCATTTTATTACATTTTCCAAAACGCGTGTTACATCACAATATAATGCGAGTTACACATTTTAATGAGCTAAGTTACATGTCTATTAGCGTGAGTTACATGTCAACTTTCCAAAGCAAGTTACATAAACTTGCACGTGATTTACATATTATTTAATACGAGTTACACCGCAATATAATTCGAGTTACACAACACAATAAGCCCCCTGATATTTAAAGAATTTTTTTAAATAAAAAAATAATTTTTATGGGCTGACATTAAAAACAAACCATATACACTATTTATGTAAAATAATTGGGCAATTATACTTCTTTTTTTTCATTATTTACATTGAAATCAATGTTTTACTTCTTATACTATATGTATTTGACAAGTTACATTTCGACTGGACTTGAGTTACATTGATCAATAGCGTGAGTTACATTTCTTTACACGCGAGTTACACCATAATATTATTGGGACAAAAAAGATAAAAAAAATTAAAAGCTACTGTTCACGCGTGTTACTGTTCACGCGTGTTACTGTTCACGCGTGAATTTTTTTAATTAAAAGTTGTGCAAAATTACGCCGTTTTGAGTAGAGGAGCATGGTCCTCACCGTGGGATGATCCCACGGTATACGAACTGGAAAATGAGTGATGAATGCTATGGTGTTCATAACAAATGAGGGCACCATATTATACGGTTATACCTAACACCTGCATTTGGTAATTAGTTCAAATCGTAATTTTATCATTCATTCATATTTAAATTATTCAATATTAATATTTTCTTGATCAATATTGTTGAGTTTAATCCAACACGATATAGTAAATATATGTATAAATGTGTATGAACAAGCTCAGTTTTTGCGTGGAAACCCGAAAGAGAGAAAACCACGGGACTTTTTAGGCTAATGTCCAAGCCCTTTCTTTCTCATTAGGCTCTCCTCACCATTATATTGAAGCTCCCATTAATGTAGGATAAAGCTAGCTAGCTAATCTATTCTAGAGAGAAGGAGGAGGGTAGGGAAGAAGAGACCAACCCCTAACATGGAGGGAAAACCTTCTATTTATATATAAAAAAAAGGATGACACGCCATCCCTGAGGGCCCTCCAACACCGACCGGACAACACGATGGGAGGATGTAAGTTGGACTATAATCACAACCTGACAGATAGAGAGTGGGGCTCCGTCCCCGGTACTTGCAGAGGCCCTATACATATTTCAGCATAGTAACCCCTTATCGCAGTTGCCGGGATTCGAACCCGAGACCTAACCCTTGTGGCACTCCCTCGCTACCAGTTGAGCTACACCCACCGGTGCCTTCTATTTATAGGGAAAAGGGGATGTGGGATAAGTCTACCCTAACGGGCCAAGTAAGCCCAAAATGGGTCCAAAGGGCCGAAACAGGCCTGATAGGCTAAAACGGGCCTCACTGACTGGGCTCCATACTACGTAGAGTCTTGGGCTCCTGAACAATAACGGCCCGGGATAATATACCAAGGTAGACAAAGTATGTAGCTTGGAACTATTATGAAATTTGAAAAATTAAAATGAGAAAGTCAACTTGGAGGGAATTAATTGAGGACAAATTCAATGTTAATGGGTCAGTTTTTTCCCGTTGGTCGCTCCAAATATCATAGATTTGTACCACTCACATTCTTTTGTCTTTTCACGTCCACACCCCACAGTCGAGGATTGATCAAACAATATACGGAGTTTATTTGAGCATATGTTTTTATTAGGACTCATTTCAAGCTCAGATGAAATCAAATTAGATCAGATCTCAACATTTGTAATAATTTATTCAAAAAAAAACATTTGTAATAAAATTAAACATCTACCAAACCATATAAGTTTAGATCAGGACAGTTCAGAAAATTTCTGTCCATGTAAAAATAAATAAAAACATCATCAATATCTTATTAGATTTTTCAGCTAGATTTAAATCTGTAAGCAATATAACCAATACTTTATCGAACTTTGATTTCAATGTGGCATCTCATTAGAACGGATGTAATTACAAACAAATGACATGAGGGTAAACATCATTGCACAAGTTGTGCATAAAAGAACGGATTGGAAGAAATTAAATACATTTTTCTGAACAACAAGTCTCAAGTTCAACATAATTAACTAAATTATGTTGTGGTTGCTCCAAACACTTACTAATTTTAAACCAAACAAATCATATTGTCAAAATATGGCATTTTACTTGAGAAGGTGGAATAAAAAGAACTATTAAATTTGCCAACATAATGACAATTATAGCCTTCATTCTCTAGCTCTATAAAAAGCATGCACATTTTTATATGTTCATTCATCAACCCCTAGCCTACTACAATATAATCATATACGATACAAGTGAGAAGAGCTATTGATTAGTAAACTATTTTATTAGTTTTGGGAAGACAAAAATTAAGTATGGGTCATTTCGTTGTGTTTCTCATTCTTGCCATTTCTTGCACTTGTTACTTGGAACCCAAGTTGTTTAATGTCCAAGCTGCAGAAAATGGGTATACTACCACCTGGAATAGTGCAGATGGAACGTGGTATGGAAGTCCAACCGGTTATGGAAGCGATGGTATTTATCTATTTATCTATAATAATATCTGATCTATAATATCTATCTATCTATATTAATATAAAGTAATAAAGTGTGGGTTTATATTTGGTAATTAAGTTTCCTTCCAATTAAATTCAAAGTCTCTCTCATACAATAAGTCAATAACAATAATAATTAATCTATAATAATTAAAATAGGAAAATAATAACAAGAGCAACAAATGCATCTATCTAAGCTATAATAATAACATGTTCGTCCCATAGTGTAACATGTGAGTTTGACACTGGTTTTAAAAAATGTTCCTTAAAAGATAGATAAAGAAAAAAATATGTTGTACACAAATATTACTGAGTTAGAATTATTTACATAAATACATAATATTAATTAAAGTTCAATGAGTATAGTGGTATATGATAGCTCAAGTGTAAAAATTGAACATAAACTATTATGAACGAAGTTACTACTATATTCACTACACGTTTAAGAAGTCACATTTTTGTTATTAAATTGTATAAATGCAAATATGTATCGAAATATTTTCATATCCAATAGCAACTTTTTTATTAGTACGAGGTGACCCCGACTTTGCTGAAGTAACTATATGCTCTCAAGAGCCCATCCCACTCTTGAGAGATTTAAATCACACTATTTGTTATATTCCCACGGCCATCTAATTACATAATTAAACATTAAAAATTATACACTCTCGTGCAACGCACATGTTAAGAATCTAGTTTATTTATAATATGATAGCAGTATTACAACTGATTATGAATATAATCATATACGAATTAAAAAGCGGTCATTTATTATTAGTAGGAATTTGACTTTTGCACCCTATTTTTAAGTGATGTTTGAACCTATTTTTAAAATCATTAATGTGTGCACTCCAGTTCCATATAAAACCAGTTGACTTTACACCTATTTTTTTCACAAATTTTATACTAATGAGCTTTGTTAGTAATATACGGTTCGTGAATAATACAATAATACATTCGTCCGTGTATAATACGATACAATTATATAAAATACAGCTAAATATATGTTTCATACGTCCGTGAAATGAATAAAGATACGAACGTGTTTTAAACGTTTCATAATTTAAAAATACGGCATATAATACATGTCTTATAGACTAATTTAATGATGAGAGTAAAGAGTAATTTAGCATATGCACCACATTCTTCAACAATTTTAAATGTACGAAATAGTTTTTTCAGATATAAAATTTGAATTCATAGGAATAAGTAAAAAAAATGATATTTCATATTTATGTAGAAATAGAGAGATATTTATAGAGAATAGTTTAATTACTGTGGCTGTAAATTTGGTGAGCCGCCGTAATAATCTTTTCTCTTTGGAGTCTTTGTATGAGTAGATAACAAGAGTAACACAATAGTAGTCCAATAATAATATCGAAACGAGTTATGACATTAAGAAGCTAATTTATTAAATCTTATGACTATTAAACAATTAATGAACATATAAGACATAATAATTTTTTAAGCAATATAAATAGTATTGAGCAACTAGACATTTTGCTTCAGTTGTACAACTCCGTTAGGCTTCAGTTTAATGGTGTTTCTTTAATAAAATACGTAACAATACGTACGGTACGTGTATTATACATTTTATCTTTAAAGTACGTGAATTTTTCAGTATTTTCTGAAAAATTCATAAACGGGAGTATTATACACGAATTATACGTTTGAGTGTATTATACGTGAATTATACGTGAATAAACTAACAAAGCTAATGAGTACGTGTGCTAATTATTTCGAAATTAGAGCGCAAAGTCTAATATCGCCCAAAATATGGAGTAAAAATCAAATTTCCTTATTATTAATTTATTATGCATGACCTGTGTTTCTACGTACGTGGTACGATGGTAGTGTCAACTTAATTGCTTCTCTTATGATTTGTCAATTAAGGGCATGTTCAATTATGTTCCACGTACCAACAAAATATTAAAAGTTACGTTGAACAAGCTTGTCCATGAGAAAATAATGAGAAAACATCAAAACGAAAAGTGTTAAGCTCGGGTTGATTTGGAATTAAAGTCAACTGTATTTATCAAACAATTTTATTTTATTCACTTATTTATGATGTCAAGTTTTAATTATATTCTAATTTAGAGTTTGTAACTTTATAGAGATTTTAATTTAGTTTTGAATATAGATTTTGATTATTAAATGTTGAATTAGTTATCAAAGAATTCAACTATTAAATTGATTAACAATAAAATTTTGACTTTGTAAACTGTTTGGGGACGAAGAGAGTAATTTATTTAAGGGATAAGGGTCAGATAGGGCCTCGAACTTCGAACCTACAGGTCATTTTTGCTAGAACCTAGAGGCCATTTGGCTCCCTAAAATGGTATATGTATTGGCCAAAAGAATACAGAGTAATCATTCAGTCAGGACTTTCTGACTGGAATCCCGTTCGGATGCATCTATTTGAGGTAGTTCCCGATAAAGTTTTTTGATGAAATTATGTGAGCATGTTTTTCATGAAGTGTAAATTATGTCTACTAAATTTCAACTGAAAATATGATCGGAAAGATAGCTAAATAAATTGTTGAATAACACTGCGCCAAAATAAATATAACAAATGCAAAACATATTCACATAATTTCATCAAGAAACTCCGGCCATCGGGAACCACTTTAAATGGCGATGGTCGAACGATGACTAGAAAAGTGTTGAGGTGAACTTTTCCCAAGGATACAATAGTATAATAGTATCTGTTCTCTGATTTATGACATCATTATATTTTTCACTCATGTTTAGAAAGATGTATCCTCCAATACCAAATATAGGTCTTTTCAAATTCAATTTTGAGAGCAAAAATTTGGTCATTTGTTGTATGAATAAATAGGTGGATCTTGTGGATACACAAACACGGTAGGGGAAGCACCACTCAATTCTCTAATATCATCGGGAAGTACTTCTCTCTATAAAGATGGGAAAGGATGTGGAACTTGCTACAAGGTAATTAGTAAATTATTAATTAATTAATTAATTATATGACATAAACTGTATATTAGTGTGTGTGAGTAATCACACATAAACAATAATATACATAAGTGATCGTACCTAAATCATTCAATAATATTGTAATAGTTCAACCTTCAACTAATCCACACAAGCAAGGTACATTATATTATGTAGTTATTTTTAAATCACATGTCTCTTTTTTTCTCTAATATTTTTAGTTAATTTCGGATATTTGTTCCTACATCATACATCGTAGTATATAAAGCATGTTTTAACATAAAAAAATGGTGTGTACGTGCTCTTTTAATTTTTCTAACGCGGGCATGTTTTACAATGACTTGTTGCATTGTAGTATTTGTAATATGTAAAGTTAGAGAACTTTTCATTGTAATATTTGTAATATGTAAGAATCTTCGTCTGGGAGCTTCCATTTAAGTGCTTCTGGATTATTTTTTTAATATATATGTTTTTCATTAACAATAAATTTTATAAAAGAACCGGAACAAGAAGTTAGTTAAATAAATTATTGAAAAAAGTGTGCCCATATATACACACATGGTGCGATTCCGGTGAGAATGAACTAAGTTCAGAGAAATAAGAATACATCTCGTACGTTAGTATTGTGTTTCTAACAGTCTAAGATCATGGATGCATCAATACTATACTGCACCTAATCACATTACATTACTTCCCTATAAAAATTAAAGTTCGTGTAACCAATAAAGGAGGGCTTTTTAGTACTTCTAAATTTGATTACCAATAAAGCTCGGTTCGTTAACAGCACTAATACGCAGTATATTGCTTCCTACAATTTAGGTAGTCCACTACTATTAAAAATGCCCTAAACTTCCATGCTATGGTTATAAAATCCCTAAACCTCTGCACTACCTTTATTTTTCTAATTTTAGTACTATTTATTTTTCTAATTGTATTCTATTTTATAATGCGTATAATAATTTGCACAACAATCTGCATAATGTTGCGCTATTAACGAATATAGATTTAATTCCTTCAACAAAATGAAAGATACATTTATCAAGTGCATTTGAAATATATATACAAAAATACACTATTATATCACACTTTTAACAATTTTACGTTGACACCTTTTACAAAATCAATGCACTTTTCTTCCAAATTGATCGTAATTGTATCATTGACTCAACATTGTATCTGCAAAAAAAGTAAAAAATTAAAAACTAATAAAAGTGCATACCAAAGTATGATAAAGTGAAATAGTAATTAATTCGAACCAATTACTAAGATTAATTATGTATAGTAAAATTAATTATAAGATGAACTTGATCAACGTATTCATGTATTACTAAAATATAGATAAAAATACATCCTAAAATCGTGGATGATGTTGGATGGTGGGTGATTGTGAGATAGGAGACGCAAATGGTATATGTAAAACATATAAAAAAAAAGCAAAAATTCGTGAAAAAATAAAACATAAAATATTGTAAAACATAAATTGATGAAATGTTCAAGAAAAAAGTGTACCAACTCTAAAAAAATGATGACCTCCTCTATGTGACTCTATGTGAAGGAATTGAGATGTTGAGAAGAATGAATTTGTGTTTGAATGAATCATAAAGAAATTGGATTAATAGCTATAGGGATGATTAAACCTGCAAGATTGTTGGGAGATAGTTATGGATGCAATTATCATTTTTAGGGAAGAGAAAGATTCTGGTAATTATGGAAGCAATCAGATATGTTTAATGTGATGCGAAAATTTCATTTTTGCCCTTAATGAAGGAGGGGATGCCGAATTAATAAAAAGGGAAAAGGTGCAAATAGGTCCATGTACTAATAAAAAAAAGGTCAAATAAGCCCTTATTTAGGAGGTTCTGTGTGGCCGTCGTCATTTGGGGTGATTCCCGGTGGAATTTTTTGATGAAATTTTTTGAGCATCTTATTCATCAAGTCTAGTTTACTCATATCAAATTTCAGCTAAAACTTCAATCGGGAAGGCATTCAAATGAATTCTTGAAGATAACTGCGCTTCTAAATGTGCAGTTATCAAGATCTAACGGATAATATTTGTTCTTATTTCTCTCCTAAGATGTCTTTCACGCTTGAATCAATACACACACAATATAAACACAATGATTTTCAGTAATTTATTTAATTGATTCCTGCTTGATTTTTTTTATTAAATTTGGTGGACATAATCGCGTCTACACTTCAATTCTTCTTGAAGAAAATGATCACAAAATTTTATCGAAAAATATCACCCGGAAACACCTCAAATGGAGGCGGTCGAACGACTGTCCCCGTCAATCCAGATTGATGAGAAAAGTTCTTTGGATGGCGTTTCCTGTCAATTCGGACCGATGAGATAAATTCTCTATAAAGTTACGGTTAATTATTTCCATAACATTTTACATATAATTGGACATGTTTCAGTGCCATATTAAATCAGACTTAAACAGACCAGATCAAATTTGGACAGGTGTAAAATACATGTATGGTAGAACAAATATCTAAAGATCATAGCAATTCAGACCCGATGAGACCAAAATCGAACAAACCAAATCAGACTAGTGAAAATTTATGTTCAATTAAAAACATTCTAAAGAAAAGTCTGCGTTTGTTTGGATTGTGAAGGTAAAGTGCAGCGTGAATGAATATTGTTCCGGAGAAAGTATAACCGTAGTTATAACAGATTCAGGAGTATCCGAGACCAATAGACCCCATTTTGATCTGAGTGGAACTTCTTTTGGAGCCTTGGCTAAGAGTGGCCAGGCAGAAGCGCTCCGCAATGCCGGTACTATTGAACTCGAGTATCAAAGGTAATAAAAATCATCATCATCATGATAATCATAGCCATGATCATCATCACTCATCATATAGATTTCCCCACAAAATATTACCTCTCAATCCTATTTTTCTTTAAAATATACTTCCTTCAATCTCAAAGCATATGAAGACTTTCATAGATTTATGTAGTGAAATTTCAACGTAAAGATTTTGAGTTACTCCTTCTATAAGGTCGGCTGACTAGTAGTTTATGTATTGTTATGAATGAATATAATATGGTGTGTGCGTGTAGGACGACATGCGATTACAAGGGAACACCACTGACATTTACCGTCGATACGGGCGCGAACGATGAGTATTTTGCTACTCTGATTGAATACGTTGGTGGATCCGGCGAGCTCAGCGCAGTGTACATGAAGGAATCTGCATCGGAGGAGTGGCTTCTCATGGATCATTCCTGGGGTGCGCTGTGGAAGAGATCCAGCTCCACACACCTAGTCGCGCCTTTTTGGTTCAAACTGGTTGATGATGCTAACAAGACTCTCGTTGCCGAAAACGTCATTCCGACAGGTTGGGCTCCCGGAGTTTCTTATAAATCGGCCGTTAGTACTTTTACCTAATTCATCAGTTACATGTAAACAGTAACAAATAAGGAAGGGTTGAACATTATCCAATTCCATGTGAACTCGATTGTAGTGTAGCATATAATAAAAGATGTAATCATTCATTCAGAAACAACAATCCCACAATGTATATACTATGTATTTGTATACCATGTAATAAACAAAAGATGATGTTGATGAACTTCTTCGTACGTACACCACATGCTGGGCTGTTTAAACTTTAAAGTACTATGTTATGGATTTAGTGAGGACTCTATCTGATCATAGGTTAGCAGAACAATGGAACATCATGCAATTAGAAAACTAAGAGGCTCTTTGATAATGCTGAAAATTATACTGAGTATGTAAAATATACGTTGTATTTTATTAATTGCATACAGAAAACTTATATGGAAAAAAAAAGCAAAACAATCATTTTCAGCAAAATCAACCATTTCACTTAGAAATATAATTGGTCTTGATCATTTCAATTATGTTAGAGTTTGGTCAAAAGTTGACACATAAACAGAAAATAAAGGCTACCTACGGCTCTAATGTTACACAGGGCCGGTCCTGTCCATTTATGGGCCTATGGGCGATACGCTAATTCGGGCTCATGTCCAAGATAAACGTAAACCATAAAATAAAAGTATCTAACGAAGTTCATAAAATAAAGGCGAGGATCACTTTATTATTATTTAAGTTACATAGTTAGGCAAAAGTAACAACACGAGTATTCAATAAAAAGAAAGAAAATACTTAAAAACGTTTCTCGTAAAACAATGTGAAGAAAAACTCATAGACAATCTTCTTTCCACTAATAAGAATGACTAACAATAAAAATATCACATATAACAACACTAAACTTTCTTTTAGTAGATAAATGAAAATAAATATTGCTACATATTGAATTTATAAGTTGAGAATGATTTATTGACCGCTAAGAATTTAAAGTTTGAAGTCTCAAAAGAAGGAAGGTTTTAAAGAGACAAAATGTTTGGCCACCAAGAAGATTGCCAATTTGTCGTCCTCTTGAACTACTATTAGGAACTCGGATATAGTTTTTTTCAATTTGGAAACAAATAAATAATTGGGATGAGATTTGGGAGCCACGGGCTCTAAAATAATTATATAAATTTGTTATGTTATAATTAAAACGAATAAAAGCCCTAAAGGCTAAAGAGATGTGAAGAGTGAAGAGACGTGTCTTTTATTGATCCAGCAACAGACAACAGTTGTATTGCTTTTAAAAACTAACACTAATTTACTTAATATTACATTAGTGTATATACATTCTTTTTTAAACTTGGCTTTGTTTAAAAAAAATTATATATGTTTTAAATTTTCAAATTGTCAATAAGATTAAACATTTGAACTTAAGAATAAAAGAAGAAGACTACTCACACAATTTACAAAGAAAAGATTTTGGGCCTATTTCTTCTTCTATATTTTTTCGGGCCTAGGGCGGTCGCCCTTGTTGCCCTCCCCCCAGAACCGGCCCTGATGTTACATGTTTATGGGATTTTTTCTTCTTTTAGGGCGGAGAAACCCATGTGTAAAGATTAATTAGTTGGATTAAATCTCATCTGCATGCATTAATCCCTAACAATAATCATACAGTAAGGCTCATAATGCATAGAATCTGAAATGCAGAGTCATAAATTAATAATAAAGCACTAAATTAGGGATTTAGGGGAGGACTCATTTATGGAAACAGACCGAAACCGGGCTGGTACAGAGCTGGTCCAAAGTACCCGGAACACGCCTGATCAACCTCTAGGACTATGTAGTGCAGAAAGGAACTGATCGAATCATCAGATTAGTTTGATGATGCCAATGTTACGGCATCCGTTAGAGGAGTCACCCGAGGCAAGTACAAGCTGATCTCTGATGAACTTGGCTTGAACAAACCGAACTTCTGCAACAGCCGGTTGATTGAGTCACCGGCACCAAATGAAACTCCAGAGACCATGAGACCCAAAACAACATAAAATGTGATGGTCTTCAGGTAAGGTTTCGGCGGTCTTTGGGTATAGGCCTTTCCAATTGCCAGAAGTATGATGCAGAGTAGTGAAGCTGCAGCAGCTGTAGCTAGCTTGAGTTCCCTGACATCATTGCGTGTACGCAAGAAGAAGGCGTACACAGTTGGAGGCACTAACCCGAATAGGATGTATGAGAGCAAAACTACAATGGCATGGATCATGAAATTTTTTCTTTTGCCCAGTAGTTCTGTATACCGATCCGGTTGCTCCGTAATTTGGTTTGAAGCCTGCTCAATGCAATCTTTCTTTAACTCCCAAAGCTGTTAAAAATGAAGTTCAGTTGAAAATATTCGGACATCCATAATAAGCATGATGAATAAATAACAAATCAATCGTATCTTATATTGATGAAGATATCAAAATGACAAACCAATCTTACATTATTTAGGATTATGAAAAATCCCCCGATTAAATTAGCGAGACCCAGGGCTAAAATTTGTACTGCAGATAAGAAAGAAGGAGCCATCAGTAACTAAATAGTTGGTTAAGATTTGAAGGGATGCCTCGACCATTATATGCCATCCGACCTTTCTGCCAAACTTATGATTAATCTGGGGAGTACATAGTAGTACATACTATTATGCGCTATGAATCATTGCGGATTGTACCGTGTTTTTATATTTCTTTTACATGCCCCATGATTAGGTTTGAGTGATTCACTCACATAACTAATCCATAAGGCACTTAGGTCAAACCACACACCCACACTAAAAGATTGAATCTAATCTATTGACTAGTTCAACCAAAGGTTTTACTAACTCATCAATTACATTTTTTTTTTCCGATGTACATTTATTCTTCATGCTACTTTCTTTTATTTGTTCGTAATCGTGCTCTTTTTTTGCTCTTTTTCTTCTAAAGGATGTTCATTTGCATTTGCAGGAGGTTAGATTAGCATAGCACATCTGAAGGTACTACATATGAATTTCAATAATATGACCTAGACTTTTAAAATTACTTACATGTAGTAGTATCACCAGCCGCAGCAGATGACACAATGCTTAGGCTTGTGATTAACTCGGCTAAACCACCATATACAATGCTTTTGATGATCTCAATTTTGTTCCCTTCTCTTGCATTGCCTCCTTGCTCCATCTCATGTATTTGGGTAGCTAGATGTGGCACATTAACTGATTCTACAAAAGCAGTGGGCCCTTCTTCTACAGTTATGATAGTATCCTTGCCTAATCCATACAAAAAAAATCCACGACTCCTGCCTCAGTCATATAGTCAATAAACACAAAGAGGTAAGATTTATCAAAGAAAATTGGAAGTAACAGCTGAAAAAGTACAGTGAACTCAAATTATTATAAGAAGCATTATAACAAACATCAACATTTAGAATGGCATGTGGTTGGTATGCTCAACTCGTCAAAAAAGAAACAAAATTTTATATGTTTATTTAATCACTTTGAGATGGTAAACATATCCCGCAAAGGAAATGCAAGAAACTAAGATGAAGTATAGCCAGATACCTTTATCTTCATGAGCACCTGTTGGAATATCAAACTTAGTAACACCTTCTGATCCTTTAAGTACAGAAACCGGTGATATCAGTGAGATTACAGCTTCATCATCTGTGCATGCACCATTTAAAGGCACATTGGATTTTCCATTAAACTTTAAAGTCAAACCACGAGTTTATAGACAGAAATGCAAATGCTTACATTACCTGAACTTTTGTTTTGCACTTCCCTATCGCATAATTGGTCAGCTTGCTTCTTCCCCAGACTCAAAGACTGTGCATTTGAGGTTACCAAAACCTTCAATCCAGTTTGGGTTGCTGACAAACTACCATCTACAAGTCTTTCAGCAATAACTTGACTTTTGTCATCTCGAGTCCATGATTCATCAATTGCACCACTTACTTTAACTTCCTTTGATACATTTAGTTGATGATTGGTATCTACTTTAAATTGATTGATGATCAGATTCCCAGCACCAACATCTATAGATAAGAAAAGAAGATGATCATAGAATGCAGCACGTGAATTTCCAATGGTATGATATCCCCCCTTCATCCCAAAAAGAGTCTTACAACTCAACCGAGCTACAAGCTTTACAGTTTATGAGTGGTCACTTATGCCCCTAAAACTTACTCCGTATATCACAATTGCTTGGAGTGATTTACTAAAATCGCTTAACATTTGGCTTTACAGTAGTTTTAATTTAAAATTAAACTTGATATTTACTTATTTAGAACTGATCGCTTTTTGGGATAAAGTAGTTATTGGACATGTCTATTTTTAAATAATGACGAATGTATCACTAAATTAAACTTTATTTTGGCAAAAATGTGACTATTTCAGCTCAAGTGGCTACAATGGTGTTCAGTTTTACTATCTAGTTACTACGGTAGTATATCTTGGTATATTGGCACTGACTGTTGTAATTATATAGTTACATGTTTATCCATAACTTTTATCATAGTAATCTTATCCGGAAAAAAAAACTTTTGGGGGGATGGATAGAGTATATAACACAGAATACTTAGACATAGTACCTTGCTTGTCAATAATTGCACGGTCCGATATACCGACTGTGCCCATCACATTGTTTTCCACTCGTTTAGGCTCGTTGTTATGAGAAATTAAGCTACTAGCTTCAGTTTCCTGACAGTCAACATGAAGAGGCGGACTTGTTTCTTCATTATTAGTTTTCTCTGGACCTGAACAAAGTTTAACCAGTGAAAAACTACCTGACAAAATGCAGGTCCTTGCCATATCAAGATAATAACCCCAGTATTTATCTAATGATTCCGCCAGAAGGACTTGGCAAAGAGGTTGATTCTATTTGTTTAATACATACAGCTCATTATTCAATGTATTAGATAAATACAGGATGAAAGTAGTATAGTAGCTTAGAATTATATTTCCCAATGCAAGAAAGAAGATGACATAAATCTATTAAAAGACAAGAAGGAACTCAGAATTCATGGTGCATCACAAAAAGAAATCACCTTGATCAGCAAACCCTCTTCCTTTATCTGATACAAAAATTGAAGAAAACCAACTTTTCTTCATTTTCATTCTTTCATCATCTCTCGCATTTTCTTTGCCACCTTTCTCACCAAAAATTTGGAACAACTTGAAGCCGCTCTCTGAGTGTAGAATCATAACAAAGGATGAAATTTAACATGAATAGTACGATAAGGAAATTGAGCGAAACAAACATAGATACTCCTAGAAATGCAAACTTGGGTACATGATAACTATATACTATGGGGATGCTGGAGTGCTTTTATGAAGATGCTGTGTTCACCCTATTTCATTGAGTGTTACTTTTATATTTAAAACCCATCACACTAAACTAGGCCAGTCTATAAAGCATCAGACCACACTAGACCAGATGTTATATGCCTGTACGCTCAAATAAAATTAGACAGGAAGCATCCAGACTGAACCAGACCAAAAACATTCATATCAAATTTTAAAAATTCAAATCAGGACTTAAAAATTACAGCGGAGATCACATTATTCTATGCGAAAATGATAGGTCCTAAGTTACTTAGTTACACTTTCATAAGATGGTGAGTTACCTGTTGGGGTAAAGAAGCTGAAACATGATAAACATCTAAATACCCCTCTTTCACTATTGTAGTCATCTAATATCGGAGTATCCTCGAGATTGATAAGAGGATCATCATGACCATGATCACTGGTCACTTGCGTAGGATAAGCTTCATGTTCAGATCCAAATGAAGACTCAAATTTATTTCTCTTAGCATCTTCACTAGAAATTCGATTCTTTCGCTTTCTTTTACGAAGAATAACTCTTCTGGTTATACAGGAATAGCAATTTGGGCAGTACAGATCGTGAGTATTCTGCTTCTGGAGCACACTCTCGACATCATAATCATTTGGGTCAATTTCACTATCAGTTATCTCGTCAACAGCAGCTGCTTCTATCTCTTCAACAGTTGATGATTTCTGAAATGTATTAGGTACTTGAGGTAGAGTTTGAGGATAATCAAGATCAGAATACAGACTCCCGTTGACAGAGACGTCTGATGCATTTCTGCCATTGCATTCTTTTATTGATGGTGTAGGCGTTGATTTCCCATCTGTTGCACACAACACATTCTTAATTATTCAAAACTTAAATATGTTCAAATTTAACATTAAGCAAAATATAAGGACAAACAGGTAGAGTAACTATTAAGATTTGGGGTGCCATTTTAAAAACTTATATGTTATATGTGAGTTTGATGCCACATTGGAGCAGGCCAACCTCAAAGTATATGTGCCTATTCTTGAATCTCAGCGGTCAAATTGTTTGTAAGAACTTAACATAGCTCCATGCCACCATATATTGAGACTCGAGGCTCCATGCTCGACTGATCAGAGATCATATATGATATATGTGATTTGTATTTTTATATTTAATGAGATGGTTTAGCAGTAACATGTTATTTAAAGCCCAAAAGAATAATAGTTAAACAAGATAGGACAGTAATGAGTAATGGACGCAGCTATTTGGAAAGTTGATTTTGTGTGAAATGTGAAATTTATTCCTGGACTATTCTCTCTCTATCTCTCTGTTATTATTCTTTGGAAACCCTAATTGCAGGTCGCTGAGCCCTAGTACTTTCTACAAAACGCATTGTTTACTGACCTTGGGTTTCAAAACTGAAATATAACCCATACTGGTCTAAGGTTTTGTAATTCAGCAACTTATGAAATTGCCTCTTGGGCGTATGAGGGAGACCAAAACAAACACTTCCACTTTGGTAGTTCCAACAGCAGACTCGACATTTCCATACTCCTTCAGTCAAACAGAACAGTGATTGCAATTTTAGAATTCCAAATTACTAATACCTTCCAAGTTTAAAAATTAAAAATGTGATCTTTTTAAGCCCGACTTCGTCCAGTTACAGGCAAACTGTTTAAAGAATCAGAGAAGTTATCACAAGGTCTTATAGCACTGTGCGGATAAAAACCCAGCTGACAAAGATACAAAAAAAACAAGTATTGGGAAAATGGTAGCAAAAGTTAAGGCTCTTGAACTCACTGTGCACGATTGAAATTATGAGTATATTCTTGACTCTTGACAGGATTAAGCAAATCAAATGAGTTAAACAAGAAAAGCAAATGCCTAAGAATGGGGCCCTCAATTTAATTGAATTTTTTTTAGATATGAGGTCGGGGTAAGTTTTGAGGGATGAAGTGGGGGTATAAGAAGAAAAGCAAAAAAAACTCTGCCCTACAAAAATAGACAGCTAAGAGCAACAAGAAGATAGCAGAAAATAAAGGGAAAAAAGTAGTAAAAGATAACATTATTAGATTATTGTTTCTCACCATCATCTTTGTCATCGTAAACACAACTTTGTAGTCTTGGCAGGTAATCTTTGAGATGAGCTGATTGAGCTCCTTCTTCAGCTCTATCGGCTTGTGTAGGGTTAACAAGCTCCTCGACCCTTTTTTTGTCACAGTCAAAGGTTGATTCTTGAGCTCCATTTTCAGTCACAGAGAGTAAATCTGCATAGCCACCTTTCTCAGCATGGCAATTTTTCACTACTTTGGGGATTCCCCTCTCTGCATTGGACTTTGAGCTTCTAACAAGCAACCCATCTTCTTCTTCCTCTTCTTCTTCCTCCCTTACCAAATCTCTTGGCTCCCTCTCGTGCCCTTCATTCTCCATTTTCAAACTAAGCCACTCTGTGGGAGACTGCATTTGGGTCACAGTTGGGGAGCTTGCAGTTATGGAATGATGCTAGAAAGGATGTAAATTGTGCAGCAAAAAAGATGGCAAGATCAGCATATCCATAGGAAAAGATATCTTATTTTATTATAAGGGAATGTGTATATTTGTTTCAAGTTTTTATTCTTAGGCCCAGCTGCAATTTTGTTCCCCTTCAAAGAGGATGAACAAGAGAACATAATCCGTCCTTGTTTTGTGGAGGTAATAATAGCTTGTCACATGACTCACATAGGTAGGGTGCTTCCGTAGTAAACAGGATATTTCTATCTGATATCTTTATTGCTCCGTATATCATAATTTTTTTATATGCGAAAAAGCACACTCTTGATGTTTCAGTAAGATAAAAGTGGGATATTGATAAATTATCATGATTTAATATAACAAATTATTACTATGAAAATGAAATATGTAGTATAAAAAATCAGTGTTAGTAATGATATACTAAAATCATTAATGAAATTAATTATAAAATATTAATTGATGTTCTATTCAGTTTTAAATACACTTATAAAATACTCATTGATGTTTAGATGTGTCAACACATGATGTATGGAGATAAATAAAATAACTTAATCAACATTCTCCTACAATAATTTAAGCAACATGATCTTCAATTAAAAGTATAAATAATTCAAGAAACATGGTTATAAAGTCATTTGTGCTTGAATTAGTGTTGTGCTTCTAGTCTTTTATATAATTTTAAACAAATATCGGCTAGGACTTTCGATATACCGTTTATTTTCAAAATTTATAAAGATACCATACCGAAGTAATTCGGTACTACCATATGAAAGTGTCGGTATATCAAACATTTCTGTAAATTTGGTGTTTTCCTATACGATAAATGCGCTATACAAAAATTTATGTATTTTTATTCACCCCTACTCAAGTCAGCTTATTACATTCTTTAACATGCTTTATTTTTTATAAGAGCTTATAATTTTTCCAAACATATATACCCCTTTTGTTTTTTTAAAGTTTGTTCTACTTTCTTTCTTTCAACATATTAAAAAATTTACTATGCCTGCCCCTTTTAATAAATTTTCTCTCTTTTGAATTACCCTTATCTTTCTACTTTTCATCTTCTCTTTCATATTTTTACATTTTTTCTAATACTTCTTCTACACCATTCACCCTACTACTTTCCTCTTTAACTAATGTGTCAAAACATAGTGTAACAATCTTTCAAATACAAAGGAAATGTCAAAAAAAAATACGAAAAATTAAATATGGCATCATGGTGTATATATTTTAGGGAAAATGAGCAAATAAGCTCTGGAACTAACCGATAAAGTGAAAATAACCCCTTTTATAGGAGGCTCTGTCTGGCCGTCGTTATTTGGGGTGGTTCCCGGTGGAATTTTTTGATGATTTTTTTTAGTATCTTCTTCATTAAGTCTAGTTTACCCATACCAAATTTCAGCTAAAAGTTCAACTGGGAAGACAGTCAAATGATTTTCTGAAATATATTGTGCTGTTTAACTACGCAGTTATCTTCAAACATTTATTTAACTACCTTCCCGGTTGCATTTTTAGCTGAAATTTGGTATGAGTAAACTAGAATTAATGAAGAAGATGCTAAAAAACATTCATCAAAAAATTCCACCAGGAACCGCCCCAAATGGCGACGACCGGACACAGTCTTCTATAAAAGGGGTGATTTGCACTTTTTCGGTTGGTTCGAGGGTTTATTTGCACGTTTTCCCTATATTTTATTATTTTGCATATTAAACTTTAAAAGAACTACTTGTACTGTCTCTTAGGCTCAAAATTTTTAAGCGATTTTTTTTTAACGAACGAAAATTTTATTCATGAAAGAACGAAATTGCAAAAGGGAACTAGAACAAGCATGGAAAGTTAAAGAAATAACCCAAATAAAATGATCACCCTAATAATTCAAGAGAAACTGATTGCCCAAATTGCTCTCCAGCCTGTCAAACTTTCAAAAATCAATTTGCCTAGTGCATACGATTCACCAACTTCTGCACTCTCACGTGAATGTTCCTTTGTCCCAGATACCGGCAATAATTTCCTGTGTCACCCCTGGTGGTCATCCAAAATTGCAAATATGCTCCTCCTTGTCTTAACTTAATTTAGGTTGTGCATCTTCTTCCCCGTGAACCCAATTCACTGCTCCTCCCCAACTGAACTTGTTGTTGGCGTTACTTCTTCTTCTCTGGTACCAATCATGAAGGCAAAACACAAAATCTTGTCGATAAATCACCCATTGGCTTTCAAACATCCTGTAGCTTATAAAAATGTACCCCGAAACCTGTGACCCAAGACATGTTGCAGCCCCCTGCTCCAGTAAAACCTTTCACCGGTGAAATCTCCTATTGCGTTGAATCTGAAGCTGAAGATCGAAACCCAATCTTCATCGAAGCAGAAAAATCGAAGTATCCTGCGTAACCTACGTTGAAGAAGAAAATTAGTCTCTTGCTTGTTTGCTGGGACTGAAGTGAAAAAACCATGAACCGCCGAAATGACCCACAAATAACCCAGTGGCCAGCCAGATCGACTAAGCGTGTGGTAAAAACTATGTTTCTCCCTTGAAACCGTGAGAAATCAGATCTCCAAAACCTACACCCATGATTGAGTATGTTGTTCAATTTTTCCGACCTCATCGGTGTTGAGCTTTGACTGACAAAAACCAGTCTATGACCATGTAAAATTCCCACAAATGAGCCCGAGATCTTCCAGAAAAAGGCAAATTGAAAAACAAACAAAAGAAAGCGAAAACAAATGAAAATTTTTCTCCGGCGGACTCGCCGGCGGTAGCACCGGTCGAGCTGCCGGAAAACTTCAGAATCTCTCGCTGTAGTTTCTCTCTCTCTAATACAGTACTACCATATTCCACGAGCTCTCTATTTGTGTTAGAAGTATATATTAAGCGAACTCATATGATGATGTGTTGATATTTGTACAGAGGATGGAGAAAGAATGAAAATTACTACATACTACATAAAAGTAATTGATTAAAAGGAAAATGATGATATTTTTAGAACAGCTAAAAAGCAAAAGATGACAAAATTATATTTAAAAGGGAAAATTATCTAAATTCGACTAAAACATTCATAGATTTATATGGCTAGTAAACTTAAAACATGGTTTTATATGACTTGTAATTGAATTCATAGGAACAAAAATGCATATCATACGTATGAAATATCATTAATTTAGGAATAAAATCTATCTTACAAATTTCTCTTTGTGAAAACTTGGTTTTTTCACAAATATTACGGAAATAAAACTTATTTACAAAAATATGACTAATAGTTAATATATTATAGTCTAATAGTCACTTAAGTGTAAATTTTGAATAAAAATTTTTATGATTAAATTACTACTATAATCACTACACTTATAAAATTATATGTTTTCAAAAGTATTCATTTTAGTCGTATATATGTAATTATTTCATAAGAATAATATTACATTCGTCCCTTAAAACTTTACCAAGTTTGACCGGCACAGAGAGAGAATTACCTAGAACCGCAAAATCTTTACTTAAAACCAAAAATGACAAAGTTGTTGAGACATTCAAAAAGGAGAGTTGACAAAGTTTTAAGGGATGAATGAAGTACTAGGATGTTTTTACTTGGACTGTAATTTGTCCCAGACCAGACCAGACCAGTTCAGACCAGACCAGATCAAACCAGACCAGACCAGACCAGCAAATTACAGTCCAAGTAAAAACATCCTTATACTACGTACTATTTCCAATATGATACACAATACTCATCATGGAGAACAATTTTATTCACCCCATCAAAAGAGGATGAACATTATCACTCCACCCTCCAATGATGCCACACGGCATAACAATTCATTTTAATTTTGCAACTGATATAAATTTTTCAAATTTGATTCATTTCTTCAAAAAAGATATCATCATTTTAAATTTGTTATGATCTTTCATATAGTACTAATATGATGATGCGAGCTTTTTCGCACTTAAAATTGTAGTAGAATAGTGGTGTAAGTACGAATATCGTCTCCACAGGGACGGAAAAAGTGAATTAGGAATTAATTAAATTTACCGATTAAAATAAAAATAAATAAATAAATAAATGCAATTGTGCGAGATAAAAATGCAATCAAACTAGTAAAAAGCTTGATTTTTTCTAATTAACGACGAAGGGAACATGATTGATTCCGGGGTAATCAGATTTTAGGCCGATCAGGCTTAATCACATGAAATTAATTTGATTGAGCAACACAAATCAATACTAAGATCTTACCGCTCTCGCGGCGTAGAGTACAATAATTTAGAGGACCAAACTGATCTCTCATGCAATAAGATCCTAAATTATTGCCAAAGCGAGTGAGCGTATGGCCTCTTAATCGTTACTAATCTCTTAGCGAACGATTAAGTGTGTGTGAAAGTGTCAAAGAAAAAATTAGATCTCTCTTAATTTATTCTACATGCCATTGTAATAAGGAATATCAATTAAATCATTCAAACACAAATTAAACAACATTCATGCAATTAATCCATCATGAATTTAGCCATACATCATGATTAACCCCTTCAACAATCCAAAATCCCTAATAAAAACTACTCACAATTCATAATTGAAGAATCAACAGAAATAGGATGAAAAGAATTAATTGTCATTAATTAAAAAGTATGAACTTACAAATAATCTCAGGGTTTTGAAGAATAAGCGGAAAACAACATAGAAATTCGTGCCTATTAGGCTTCTCTCTAAATTCTGTAACCCTCAAACGGAGAAATAGAAGCCTTATTTATAGAATACGGGAAAATTCAGGCGAAACTGGGACTGCAGGGGGCACGCACGGCGTGTGTGGCGTTCGTGCGTCCGGAACAACGCCGCGTAATACGTTGCCACACACAGTGTGAGTCCCTGTACACACGGCTGTGCGTGGCTGCCAGTGAGGTCTTCGAAAAACAGCATCGGACACACGACGTGCATCCCCCTACGCACGTCGTGCGTCAAAACTTCTCTCGCCCAGCACCTACTGCCACGCACGCACGGCGTGCGCCCCCTACGCACAGTCATGTGTGGCTTTAAATTACCATTTTCTTCGGTTTCTTCCTCTTTAACTCCTCGTCTGGTCCCGCGATCGATCCTAGAGCTCTTTTGTCATCAACTCTTCATCGTGAATCTCCATGTGACCTCTAAAGCTCTCAATTCTCTCTCGAACGCACCTCGAGTCATCCCGATTGCTTCTCAAGCGCCGGTGCTGGACTCCTATTACCTCATTTTGA